AGCGTGTCCCGGCCACTCTCCATCTGCCTGCATCGCAGCAGCTCCCTTGCCACTGTGAGTGCCGCCCGCATGTTCGCTTGCTCCTGCCGTGAGTGCGGCGCCATTGCAGCGGCGTGACTTGCCGCTCTCGCCGCGGCTCGTGCTTGCCGCGGGGTGAGGGTGGATGATGCCTGGCCGCGCTGTCCACGCCCGGCAGAGCTCGATGACGCCCGCGCCGCCTGGGGTGCGGGGTCGAGATCTTCATGGGCAGGCGGCGTCGTCCGGGCCGGCCAGGCTGCCCAGCGGTCGGATCCGGCTCTTGGGTCACCAAACATCGTAGCCGGTGAACGTCGGAGAGCCGATTGGCGAAGAAAAGGCTCCGGCACACCCCTACCTGGCGCGCCAAATGTCGGGGTATGGGGTCCCAGCAACCCTTAAGGTTCGAACACTGGGGTGCGCACGAAGTCTTTCCCTTCAACCGATCTACGCTCTAGCTTGCTACGATCTCGCGGATGAACTCGATGAACTCACAACACAGATGGACACATGGTTTATACTGGTTCGGGCCACCGTTGTGGTGTAATACCCTACTCCAGTGTGGTGGTGGTGGATTGCCTCTCGGGCTGATGATGAACAATACAAGGGAAGAACGACCTCCTGAGGTTGAGGCGTTCTTGAGCTCGGTGAGCTTGTGTGTGTGGGGTGGTCTCTCTCAAGCTGAGATGAGATCTTCCCCTCTCTAACTAAGATCCGATCGTCCCCTCTACTATGGTGGCTAGTCCTATTTATAGAGGCCCTGGTCCTCTTTCCAAATATCGAGCGGGAAGGGAGCCAACAATGACGGGCTAATTTGAGGGGGGACAACTAGTACAAGCTATCCTGACAAAAGTAGTCTTCGCCTGCACAAAGTTCTGGTGGTGACGCTGTTCTGGGCTCCACGATGACCTCCGTCTTGCAGTCCTTGGTCTTGGTCTTGTTGCACCGAAATGGCAACCTTTGCCTGATGCCTCGGTACTCCGCGGCTGCGCTTGCCCCCTTTGCACCAAAGAGGAAACAAGGACGTTGTGCGCGCTGGCGCCCGCCTGGTGTCGATCGTCACGACTCACGTCACGAGAGCCTCGTGAGGTTCGCCTCGCCTTGATATCTCCGCTCCTCGTGAGCCTGCCTAGCTAGGCTACTCCAGAGGAGGTCTTGCGTCGTCCGCCTCGCGAGGCTTAGCCCCTCGCGAGGGTCTTGGGCGCTTTGTTGGTGAAGATGGGTCGTACGTCCTGCTGGCTCAGCCACGCCGCGGGCCGCAGGCAGGCAAGTCTGGGGACTCCCATTCCCAGAACGCCGACAAACCACATAACAACATACGTTGTTTCCTTTGTCATCGGTATGTTACTTTCCCGAGATTCGATCGTCGGTATCATCATACCTAGTTCAATTTCGTTACCGGCAAGTCTCTTTACTCGTTCCGTAATGCATTATCCCGTGACTAACTCATTAGTCACATTGCTTGCAAGGCTTATAGTGATGACCATTACCGAGAGGGCCCAGAGATACCTCTCCGATACACGGAGAGACAAATCCTAATCTCGATCTATGCCAACTTAACAAACACCATCGAAGACACCTGTATAGCATCTTTATAATCACTCAGTTACGTTATGACGTTTGATAGCACACTAAGTGTTCTTCTGGTATTCGGAAGTTGCATAATCTCATAGTCATAGGAACATGTATAAGTTATGGAGAAAGCAATAGCAATAAACTAAACGATCATAGTGTTAAGCTAATGGATGGGTCTTGTCCATCACATCATTCTCTAATGATGTGATCCCGTTCATCAAATGACAACACATGTCCATGGCTAGGAAACTTAACCATCTTTGATTAACGAGCTAGTCAAGTAGAGGCGTACTAGGGACACTCTGTTTGTCTGTGTATTCACACATGTATTAAGTTTCCGGTTAATACAATTCTAGCATGAATAATAAACATTTATCATGTTATAAAAAATACAAATAACAACTTTATTATTGCCTCTATATTTCCTTCACTTTAGTGTACACTTATTTATTTATTTTGAGAAGAAATAGTTGCCACTTTATTCAATGTTCATAGCTCCTTCCCGTGCAACCTCCGAGCTAACCCACTCGCGAGGCACATGGAGCCAAGTTTTACAAAGCCATCTAATACAACCTTCCCTAGTTAGGACATTTATTTTGAGACGGAGGAGTTACTTTTTTCACTTCAAATATAGGTTTGGGGGAATCCCATGTTCTTTTTCTTTCTTGTACTCCCTACGTCACTAATCTAAAACAAGAATTTTAGGATGATGGTAATATGCAAGGATCATGTAAATCTAAAATAAGAATTTTGGGATGGTGGTAACATGGAAGGGTCATTACAGTTCTTAGTCACAAATTTACAATGGAGTCGTCGCCATTAGCGGTAGCTCGACCTCGTGCGCCCACTCGACGCACCTGGTCTCGAAATGACGGCTCCTCACCTCGTTGGGCAGGTAGCTCAGCCAGACCTTGAGTCCCAGGCGCCACCTCATGGTCCTCCCCTCCGCCTCCCTCCCTACCCTCCACGTCACCTCCTCCGGCAGCTCGTCGCCGGCCACCACCAGCCCCCGCATCTTGCTGAACGCTCGCCCGGGGCCCCCGTACCGGCGCCTCATGCCGCTGCGCGGGTCGGCCTCTCTGCTGCCCGGGCGCCACGATGAGACCTCCGTCCCGGTGGCCGGGTCGCACAGCACGCCCTCGAACACGCCGGCGCTGCCCTCCGCCTCCTGCTCCCACCGCCAGCTCCGGTTCCGTGCCCGCGACGACGAGCGCATCTTCGCCTTCACCCTCGGGTCGCCGCCGAGCTTGGTGGTGCCGGAGAAGGCGCCCTTGACGGTGCGCGTCGTCTCGACCTCCCGCTCCGGGTTCCCCGTCGACCGGCCCAGGCTCGGGCCCGTGGCGTAGGACGAGCCGAACCTAGGGCCGACCCAGAGCCGGATACGCGACGGGAAATGCCTCTCGCCGTCCAAGACATGGTCGTCGTCGACGTCGTCTTCCCCAGTGCCGGTGTCGTCCTTCTTACTATACCCGAGCCGCACGACGTGCACCCGTATGTTGTCGACGTGCACACCGACGACGATGAAGCCATTGTCTCGCACGCTCACCGCGTACTCCACCTGGGCCACGGCCTCCAGCTGCTGGTGCACCAGGCCGTACCGCAGCGCCGGCTCCTCCGGCAGCTCATGAGGCAAGGCCGTGATCGTCGCCGGCGATGTCGCACCAGCGACGCGGGGGATGGCGAGCACCGGCGCGTACCCTCTCAGCACCCAGAGGCCGTGCACCTCCGTGGCGTACGACAGGCACGCGACGTCGGGCTTGGCCGGCGGCTTGGGCGCCGACTGCATCTCCCGCAGCAGGCACCACTTGGCCAGCATGTAGCCGAGCAACCGCATGAACCGCTCCTCGACGTCCGGGCCGACGGAGAGCAGCAGCCCGCCGAGCGCCGCCGGGGCGCAGCCGGCGAGGGCGCGCTCGATGTCCGTGCTAAGAGCTTGGAAGAAGAGGAACCCAAGGTCCGCGGGGGCCTCCAGGGCGCACAGCCAGAAGAGACGCATGAGCAGCGCCAGCGAGAAGAAGTGTGAACCATCATCGACGCCCGTGGCCGCGATGACGGCGGACACGACCTCCGCGTCCAGCAGCTTCGACTCCGACGACGACGCGTCCGGTTCTCTTCTCAAGGAAGTGATGGACGGCGAGAGCGCGGTCACCTCGTCGAGCAGCTGGGCCAGAAGCAGCAGCCGCGGGGCGACCTCGGAGGCTGCCGCGAATGCCTCGGACGTCCAGAGTACGCGGCGAGCCACGCCGTTGGCACTGTCTACGGCGATGGAGAAAGCGACGACGGCCGTGCCGCCGTCGGCGGTGGTGGTGCAGTCGGCCTGCAGGACGATGGAGGCGCCCTCGGCCTCGGGGGAGGCGGCGAGGGGGATGGATGCCGTGGCGGTGCCGGTGCCAGCGCCGGGAGGAGGGAGGGTGGCCAGCCACGGCCACACCTCGTCCATGGGTTGTGGCTAGGAGGAGGACCGGATACGTGGGCGTGATGGCGCGCGCGGGCTGTGTACTTCTGTGGTGTGCCGTTGTTCGGTGTAGCTGCTGGCACGGAATGGAGGTTTGGTTGGTTTGGAATGTGGAGGCCCGGTTGCCCACATAGGGTACGACGTGGACTAGCAGAAGTGAACAACCGCCTTACATCTATTTCTTGTTACGTCTTCAAAAAAATCTATTTCTTGTGCGGATTGCTAAATCTCAGTCAACTAAGACCTAACGAAGTCGCAGTCAACATTATATTTGTAAGATTTTATGTGAAGATTCGTGCATTTTTTTTCATTCTTTTATATGTTGTGTTACTTGATTGAGATTTGATTAAGCCTCAGTGACTGAGATCTAACCACACCCTTTCTTGTGTACTCATTTTTGGCTCCGAATAAAATTGTGTACTCATTTTCTCAACCACAAAAAGGGCCCGACAATTGAACACTCGCCTAGATAAGAAATTGAGTTCAACCCCAACTCCCCTTCTGACGTCCGATACACAACTAACAAAAATGGCTGAGTGTATGTGCGTATGTATGAGCATTGGTGTCTACTGTGTTAAAAAAATACAGTTCTAGCGAACTATAGTATCCTTCCTCCTCCTTCGGTACCGGTCTGTCAGCCCGTCCTCTGAGACTAGGACGCCGGCTTTCACCCTCCATGGCCAACGGTGTTGTCGTATGTGTCTCTCCGCCTCCTCAGCCTTTCCTTAAACCCCTACCGTACTCCACGCCGATGGCTACCCCCGCACCCACGCCGATGGCTACCCCCGCACACGAACCAATCTAAAACTATGTCATCGCCTGTTCTTGATGGTGTTCCCGTCTCGGCCTCGAGGCTGCGCTTTGTTGGAAGCATAGAAATTTTCAGGTGACCGCAGAGGGATGCACTATGGGTGGTTACCTAGAAATGATTAGTCATCATTCACTTTTTACTGTAGCTAGCGTACACACAGGAAAGCCCAACATCAGGACCAGGCTTCAGGCATGCATTTTACATGAAGGATCTTCGAGTTGACACCCCATGACGGCCTATCTTGGCAGCAATAAGCCACATGAATGCAAGTTTTGAATGCTAGGTGAAAGGATCGATATGGTTGACTAGAGGGGGGTGAATAGGCAACTAACAATTTTTAGCTTTTCTTTAACAATTTAAACTTTGCATCAAAGTAGGTTGTCTAGATATGCAACTAGATGAGCAACCTATATGATGCAACAAGTATAGGAACACAAGCAAGCAAGTGATATGATACAAATAAGCTTGCACAAGTAAAGGCACGAGATAACCAAGAGTGAAGACGGTGGAGACGAGGATGTGTTGCCGAAGTTCCTTCCCTTTAAGAGAAAGTACGTCTCCGTTGGAGCGGTGTGGAGGCACAATGCTCCCCAAGAAGCCACTAGAGCCACCGTATTCTCCTCACGTCCTCACACAATGGGAGATGCCGTGATTCCACTATTTGTGCCCTTGAAGGTGGCGACCGAACCTTTACAAACAAGGTTGGGGCAATCTCCATAACTCAATTGGAGGCTCCCAACAACACCACGAAGCTTCACCACAATGGACTATGGCTCTGCGGTGACCTCAACCGTCTAGGATGCTCAAACACCCAAGAGTAACAAGATACGCAAGGGATTAGTGGGGGGGATCAAATTTCTCTTGGTGGAAGTGTCGATCGAGGCCTTCTCAATCACTCCCGAGCAAATCAACAAGTTTGATTGGCTATGGAGTGAGATCGGGCGAAAATGGAGCTTAGAGCAACAATGGAACTTAGGGTTGGAAGAGATGAGTCAACGGGGAAGAAGGGGACCCCTTATATAGTGAAGGACAAAGATCCAACCGTTATCCACCTACCAGCCCGCGGCCAGCGGTACTACCGCAGGGTCGCGCGGTACTACCGCTTGCTGCCAAGCGGTACTACCGCACGGTCATGCGGTACTACCATACAGGCCCGCGGTACTGCCGCAACCCCAGCAATAGCAAGATCAGATCTGAGACACAGGAGCTGAGGGTGGTACTTCCGCGAGCGCGGTACTACCGCGCCACCATGCGGTACTACCGCAAGGCAGGACTCCCCTAGCTAGCCAGGGGGAAGGAAACATCCGTGCCTACTTCCGCAAAGAAACGGAAGAAGCAAAAACCCGACACAGTAGTACTGCAGAGGGGCGGTACTACTGCGTGACAACATAGCACGGTACTACCGCGGAGCGAAAGCGGTACTGCCGTGGTAGGTGCGGATGTAAAAAAATATATCCGCCCCTACTACCGCGAGGGAGCGATACTAGCCTGGTGGGCAACGGTAGTGCAGCTCCAGGGGAGCGGTACTACCGTGGGCACCTGCGGTACTACCACGCCGCAGCACGGTACTACCGCTGGTGCCTACGGTACTATCGCTCACCTGGGAGCAGTACTACCGCGAGCCAACGCAACAACCAGAAACAAGGCGGCGAGAAAGCGGAGGATGCTCCAAGGGAAAGGAGGGGACAAGAAGGAGGCGTGTACGTGATGATTCCACCCAAACATTTCCGACGCGGACCCCCTCTTAATAGTACGTCTTTCCTACGACTCAAATCCACCAAAAAGAAACGTAGAAAAGACATTGTCTTCAACAGTCTTCGAGGGGCACCCAACCGTCTTGTGCCTAGCGATGAAATGTCTGGGATACTCGAGGCACACGATTAGTCCGCAAACGCGTTGTCATCAATCACCAAAACACCTTAGGGATAAATATGCCCTTACAATCTCCCCTTTTTGGTGAATTGATGACAATACGGGATTTACACAAGGGAAATAATATTACACAGCCGCAAACCCTTCTCTCTAGAATATAGACGGGCTCCCCCTAGATGTGTGCCAACTAGATGGGTGCTTTGGACTGCATGGCACACATACTAGGATTAAAGCTCCCCCTATATTATAGAGACAAGGCATATCTAGTAATAGGAAGGCTAACACTAGACAGGATAGCAAACATAAGTTAACTAAGGTAGATAGAGTGCATATGTCTTACACCATATGTAGGATAGGTCTCGAAGGCACAAAACAAACAAAAGCAAACGAGGTTCAAACGACAAAGACAAAGCAAACACACAGACAAAGCAAACACACCAAGCACGACACAACGCAAATCCCTACACTCTCTCCCCCTTTGGCATCAAGACGCCAAAGAGGCAGAGAGGACACCTACACACACGGGGTGGCTCAAGCAGAGAAGTTGTCCCACTGCTCCTCGTGCTCCTTGTCAGACTCAGCGGCGGGGACGGGCTCCTCGATGTCTTCCTCTGAACTGGTCCACTTGTACCCTTGCTTCGTATCCAGGCAGCCTCTGGCGTGATGACGTCCTCAGAACCGCCAGACACATCCTCTCCAAAGAGCCTCATGACCTTCTTATCACAGCGGCGACTCTCCTTGTCAGCCACGTGAGTCTTGTACTGTCCCTTTGCCTGCATACAGAAGAGAGTCTTCATCTTATCCTTTAACTTCTTGGCCCACGACGGCTCAGAGGAAGGAGTGGTAGACCTAGCAGCATGATCCTCAGCAACATGCTCTGCACCAGCCTCCTCCTCACCAACAGCCCTCCTAGCAGAAGAAGCCTCAGCACGGGTGGTAGTATTGGCCCAGTTGGGCTTGACGCGGAGGCTGATGGACTCATGCCGAACCCAGTCTGGAGCAAGGAACTCATCACCAGGGTACATCTTCTCCCAAGTTGTGGAGAGCAACAGAAACAGGTACGGTCCATAGATAGGTACCTTACGAGTGAACACCGCAAACCGAAGCTCACACCACATGATGTGTGAGACATCAAATGGCTGAGTCTGAGATGAACGTGCCTCTGCACACAGGGGAAACATGTCCACTAGATAAGCATGAACCTTGTCCTTGTCGCCAATGCGTGGGAACAGACTGTTGCGGAAGATGCGATGCATGATATCCAGAAAGGAGTTCAGCACCCAAGTCGACTTGCCATTGGGGAGCACCTTCTCAACAAGGAATGGCTGAAGCAGATTCTTGTTGGCAGACTCAGAGTTGGCGTGGGGGCGAACACCAACGGGGGTGTGAAGCCCGTCATGAGGAATGTGAAGCAGATCCATGAACTCCTTCCATGTAGCAGACAGCTGATGGCCGTTGGTCATCCAGGTCATCCTCCGTTCATCCCCGGGATGAAAGTAAACAGAGGCAAAGAACTGACAGATAAGTTCAGGGTCATAGTCAAGGTGAAAGGAGATCACTAGCTCAATAGCAAACTGCTCCACCAAGTCCAGAGCCTCTCCAAAATAGTCACGAAACTTGTCCTTCCGCATGTGATTCATGTCTATCCACTTGACATCCACGAAGGTATTCTACTTGTTCTTGATCACATCCAGATAGATGAGAGCCTGTTGCTTGGTCCAGAACAACTCGGTGCCTCTGAGGACAGCCCGAGGATTCACATAGGGTTTGATCTTCCGGCGTTCGACATACTCAGTGACTGAAATCTCGTCCATGCCCTTAGCAGGTTCCTTTTGCTTGCTGGCAGTGGTCTTGACATTGCGCTTGGGGGCATTGGAGCCCTCTGGTGCTTCATCTTGGGGGTTGCGCAAACGCTTGGAGCCAGTGTCACGACTGGGATTGGAACGGCGAGAGCCACCACCTGAGACACAAAGCGCAAAACACACACGACAAGCAAGAAGGATCAATGCAAAGACCACAACAAAGCAAAAGAAAACATGCAGAGAGCACACGAGATAATTGCCATGAGAGAGATTTGACCCCTACGGTAGTATTGCTAAGTGTTGCGGTACTAAGATTGTAGTACCGCTCTTAGTCGCGGTAGTACCGTCTAAGGTCATGGTAGTACCGGGTCTAGGAGCGGTAGTAGGAGCTTAGTGCCTCAGCTAGCACGGTAGTACCGCGTCTGATGGGCAGTAGTACCGCACGAGCTAGCGCAGTAGTACCGCACCGGATGGGCGGTAGTACCGCACGAGTGGTAGTA